CTACTTCTTGGTTGCCCTGGGGGTAAGCAGATAAACATCAAATTTTCATTTTTGGATGAACTATCCCTTTAATTCAACTAGTCTTAACTTTCTCAGAAAGATTACATACATATAAGTTCAATAAGTTATTGCATAACTTGCTTATTTTGGTACTTCAGTCATGCAGTATTAATTTTCTATAATTTTGTATTAACACAAGTTAGATAAATCCAACTAGAATAAAATACTAGTACGCAGATCAATCATTCTTAACTTTGTCATAAAACTCAACACATGAGACAAAAGAATTATATAAAAAAAAACACAATTAAAAATAAATGTAATAATAAAAAAAAAACAATTATTGAATAGGTATTTTAGAAATTATTTAAATAAGCCGGTCTGATCAATAACATAGTAACACAAGGGAGGTATGGGGGACACACTTCAAGCAGGAATCGGATAGGGGCCACGCCAGGCATTGTGGGATATTCTTCTACTTACTGACTGCCTCCTCCTCATCACTGGATGAAGAGCCAATAGAAAAGAGAGTTTTAGATTTGGGGAGCATGGGCGAGATGCTGAAGGAGATTCTTCGTTTGGGTCGCGGCCGTCCGATCGCTTGTGGGTTCCATGATCACATGAGCAAAAAAGATCAAAGCAGGCATTATAATAAAACTGGGTGCTAATACACTGACAGTAAAATGTCCACTCCCTTAAAGTGACACCACAGTGAAAGGGAACCACGGGAGGTCCACATCTGATGAGTTGAAGAATACCAACAATCCCAGTTGATACAGGACATTTTTGTAGTATAAAGATCCCAGGACGTGAAATCGGGTGTTAGATATGACTGACAGGAAGTGAGTGGTCAGTGTGTGGTTATACATGACCGAATATTTCCACTACTAATCTTACCACAAGGGCATGGAAGAGACCAGCAAAGAAAGAAAACCCTCTGAACTCTGCAACAACTGATCTAAAAGCACTTTTGAAACTTATCAAATATATTTGAGCCTTTTTTAATGTATAAAATATGTTGTTGTCATTACAGTGCTGCAGAGCTCAGAGTGGCACAATGAGACACAGGACAGGAGTGAAAATTAAAGAGGTATTTAAACTCACCATCTATGTCTTTGTGACTGATGGCCAACATGGAGACAGACTTGGTGAGAAAGGGTTGTGAATGTGGGACACATCTTCGTCCAGACTGGATGGGCTTCTGAAAGCAGGAAACATGACAAATCAGTTTGAGTAATTAAATGCAATGAAATTAAAACTACTAAATCAGATATAACTCTTATATCTGATTCAGCACATTAGAACACATTGCAGTGTTTTTTTTAGCCTTCTTTCCTTGGCATAAAGGAAGACTCTCAGTAAATAATTTCATTTTCTTTCCAACTGTCATTATCACATGACTAATAGCGCTTTTCCACTGCATGGTACGGCACGGTACTGTTCAGTACGGTTCACTTTTGGGGGGTTTTCCACTGGGTACAGTACCTGGTACCTGGTACTTTTTTTAGTACCA